GCACTGTAGCAGTGCGCCACCGGGCCGGCCCCAGAGTGATGTTTTCTAATCTCAAATTGTCTGACTCCCCTCTAAATCCTCTAGCGGCAGCCCCCTTGCTCTCCTGATAAAATATCAACTCCTCCCCACGGCCTACAGGCCCTGCACGATCTGGCCCCCACATACTTTTCCAATCTCATCTCAAACCACTCGCAACCCCCGACCCTGTCCCGAGAGGCTCCAACTTGACTTTGCTGTTGCTAGAGTTCTTAGGCTCCCGTCAGAGGCCTTTGCACACTCTGTTCCCTCTGCCTGGTGCCCTTTTCTCCACTGGTCAGCTGTTCATCCTTCACATCTCCCTGCACCATGGTCTAGGTGGTCAGCTTCCCATGTTAAAAATTCTTGGGGAAAACTACACCAGGCGGACACAGCCAGGAAAATGCAAGCAGTGGGAAACTCTAGTGGACAAGCAATCTGGCTTCTTCAACAAATAAACTGCAAGGGAAAAAAAAACAAACAAAACAAAATGGAAGGGAGCCCACAGATTAAAAGATTTTAAATGACTTATCAACCAATTGCAATATGTGGACTTTATTTAGATCCCAATTCAAACAAACTCTAACACAATATATACTTACCAAACAATTAAAAATTTGAATACGGACCAGAGATTTGCCAGTATTTAGGAATCATTGCTGTTCTTTCTTAAAAGATAATTTATTATACATATTTGTGGGGTACAAAGTTGACTGTCAATAGCTGCGTACAATGTGTGATGGTCAAATCAGGATAGTTACCTTATTCATTGTTACGATACATAATAATTTTTTTTTTCCTTTTTTGTCTTTTTTTACTGACCGGTAACGGGATCGCAACCCTCGGTGTTGCACCCACACCTCGCTCAGCCAGTGAGCGGGAACAGGTCTCCACATGGAATCCAAACCCTCAGCGGGAGCACCGCCGCACTCCCAAGTGGCACACTCTCCAGTGCGCCACCGGGCCAGCCCATAATAATTTTTTGTGTCTGTTAACCAATTTCTCATTATATTGTTCATTTTGTAGGGGTGAGAATGGTGTTATGGTTATGATTTTTAAGAGTCCTTATCTTTCAAAGATGCATACAAAAATATTTACAGATGAAATGCTATGACATGTGGGATCTGACTCAAAATAATTGGGAGGAAGAAGTATTTGGGGTACACATGAAACAAGCTTTCCTAGGAGGGTGATTTTGTTGAAGGTGATTTTGTTGAAGCTGGGTTTATTACCCCAGTCTCTCTTACTTTTGTGTAAAATAAAAATGCCCCATAATAAAAAGCTAGCCCCAAGGGAAAAAAGAGAAACTCTCACAGATCTGTGTTCCTTCCCTTCACAATGCTTAATTCGACTGGTATTTGCCCACCCCCTTGTGACTGCTAACTTCCTGTCTGTCCCCCCCACACCCCCGCCAGCCCGGGGTTCCCCACGATGGTGGGTGGAGGTGGGAGGCTGGGACTAAGCTTTGCTTATAATCAAATCCCAGCCCCTGGGGTGGGCTGGCATGTCTTAGGCACACTCAGTAAATGGCAGCTGTTTTCATTTCTTACTTGCATGTCTGTCTCTCAATACTAGGAGGAGTCAAGAGCTGACTTAAAGAGAAGTCAGGGGTCCGCACTCCCACATTCCTCCACATCCCCCTACCTGCACAGCCAGACTCTCTGGGGCTGGGGGTGCCGTGGGGCCACACAGGCTGCATCTGCAGCATGACAGCCCCAGGCCTGGGGGCATTTCCTTGTCCTCCAAGTCCCCTGTCTGGCCTTCCCCAGGACCCCTGTGTCCTGCCTGGCCTTCTGTTCCTTCTGATGGCATCGTAGCAGGAAGACTGTAGAGGGAAGGAGGAGAGAAAGACAAAAGAGAGAGAGTGAGTGGAGGGGAGGATCAGGGGTAGCAGGGGCTACTGACACCTGGGGCACCAGTTTCTCCCACCTCTGGGCCTCCCGGGCTCTGGTGCCATGAGTAAGTGACATCTAGTTCCAACACTCAAGCCCCTGGTGTGGCACACAAATGCAGGACGTGCACTTCTCGTGCTGTGCGTCCTCAAACTGGTCGCTTAACGTCTCTGTGCCTCAGTTTCCCATCAATAAAATGGGCCTGATACTTTGCAGAGGTTACAGTGAGGATCAAATCAGATCATGTCTGGGAAGCTGCCAAAGGAGAATGGTCAATAAACACTCATTCACTCAGGATTCCCTGCCCTGCCCAGGTTGGGGGCTCAGGCCCTGCTTGGCCTGGCTCCATCTCCCCCCGTTCCACAGCACCCCAGCATCTCACCAGCTAGCTGTTGCAGGGCCTGCAGGATCTGGACTCTCCCGTCTCCATCATCTGACCTCTGTCCAGGATGCAACGGAATCTGCCGCCAGGCTCCCTCCTCCTCCCTTGGCCTCCCTGGACTAAGAGTGAAATTGCCCGGAGAGAAACCGACGCCCCGGCCGAGGCAGGGCACACCGTCCCAACCTGCCCACCCATCCCGAGGCTGATGTCTGCCCGTGGAAGAAGGGGCCCTGAGCCATCACCCCCCTCTCTTCTAGAAGGTTCGTCTTATTCTTGATTATATAGCTATGGAGGGGGGTGTCTGCTTTGGCTTTTATTCTCTTCAATACTATTTGGGTTTTTTTTACAACAAACATGAATTAAAATAAATATCAGTTAAATAATTATCTTATACATTTATTTAATTTAAAAGTAAGGACAAAAACCAATATACCAATGTAGTGGAAAACTGAGGAAATGAAGAAGAAACTGGCCAACTTTAATCCCACTGCTCCAAAGAGTTTAACTTTCTTTTTGTTGTTTTGCGGCTGGCTGGTATGGGGATCTGAACCCTTGACCTTGGTGTTACAACACCACGCTCTAACCAAATAAGCTAACTGGCCGGCGCTGGCTTTTTCTATGCACTGTTTTATGTGATTGGAAAAATATTTTAGATACTATTTTTTATCCTCCTCTTTTTTTTTCACTTAACAATGTTGTAACCATTTTTCCTTGTCTTTAAAAATTCTATGCAAGGGCCGGCCTATGGCTTACTTGGGAGACTGTGGTGCTGATAACACCAGGGCCAAGGGTTCGGATCCCTATATAAGGATGGCCGGTTAGCTCACTTGGGAGAGCGTGGTGCTGACAGCACCAAGTCAAGGGTTGAGATCCCCTTACCATCATCTTTTAAAAAAATAAATAAATAAAAATTCTTTGCAAATATCCAGAGACATACTTCCAGGATGCAAGACACATGGGGGATGAAGCTTAATTTATATACTTCCAACTCCTCTGAACGTTTTTTCAAATCAAGCATGCATTACCGTTATGCTTGAAAATCAAACCAATAAAGATATTGAAAAGAAAAATAAAGGGAAGAAAAGAGTGGAGAGGAATTTTTACAGTCTTCATAAACATCCTGTTGAACGGTTGCCAAATTGTTCCTCACGTGGTTAAGCCATAATTTACTCACTCACTATTGAGCATTTAGGCTGTTGAGAGGTTTTTACAATTATAAGTGATGCCACAATAGACATCTTTTAGCAAAAATCTTTGTCCACATCTGCTTGTTTCTTCCCCATTCTCTTGTGGGGGAGGGGAAATGGGGGCAGCAAGGCAGGAAGTGGGGGAGGGAAGACCACCAGCTGCCCAGGTCACACTGACCAGCCTGGGGTGTCCCAGCCTACCTGCTTCTCCAGGTGGGGTCCACCACTGCCTTTTTTCCCAAGGAGGGGGCTTGGCCCTGGCCTCCCCTGGAGGGTGGGGGTCCTGACCCAGCCTGGATGTGGGGCTGCCCCTGTTTCTGCTGCAGAGACACATTTCTCCACTGGGTTGAGAGAGAAGCGGGAGGGGGATGTTAGGCTTGGCCCTGGCCTCCCCTGGAGGGTGGGGGTCCTGACCCAGCCTGGATGTGGGGCTGCCACTGTTTCTGCTGCAGAGACACATTTCTCCACTGGGTTGAGAGAGAAGCGGGAGGGGGATGTTGGCTGTGGCCTCAAATGTGCCTCCCAAGGGAGCACAAAGAAGGGGAGGGGACAGAGTCAGACATTCCTATAAGACTCCAAAGCTTGTGGTCTTAACCATTAGACTACTCAGCCTCTTTGGGAATAAATGAATGAATGAATGAATGGAGAGATGGAACCCAAGAATCAGGGCTTTCCTTGGGAGACCAAACCTAGGGCTGGGTCCTCCCAGAGTACCCCTTTCCCAAAGAGGGAAGAACATAGACGCACCTCCCAGCCCTGGCTGGCAAACCACTAATAAACAATAGCAACTGCTTACATGGTAGAGTGCTTGCTATGCGCTAGGCAGGGTTCTGAGTCCCTTTATTTATTAATTTAATCTCACAACAACCCTGAGAGGTATGTACTATTAATAACCCATTTTAGAGATAAAGAGACTGAGGCACAGAGAGGTTAAGTAACTTGCCCAAGGCCACACAGTTAGAAAGTGGCAGAGGCAGGATTTGAACTCAGACAGAGCTGGTTCAGGTGTCTGGACTGATAACTGCATGTTCCATACCTGATTGTTCATGACGTCAACCTGTGCCCAGTGGGTGCCCCCTCGGTAGACAGAGCCTCCTCCCCAGACACACCAATGCTCCATAACCTCCCTGACCCGACCTGGAGGCCTCTGACCTCTTGGAAGCTCCAGGCCAGCAGGGCCTTTGTGTGTCGCCCCCATGCCGCCTCCAGCTGGGCCTCCCGGAGCCACAGGGCCCACCGCAGTGCACGAAGACCCTTTCGCAACAGCTGCCGGCGGCCCAGGGCCACTGCCGCTGCCACTGCCTGACGCTTCCACACCAAGTGCCTCCAGGCTCTGACATATCTGCACAGCAGCTGCCGGCGGTCCAGGGCCACTGCTGCTGCCACTGCCTGACGCTTCCACACCAAGTGCCTCCAGGCTCTGACATATCTGCAGAGCAGCTGCCGGCTGCGGACAGACCAGGGCTGATCAGGGGCTGACCTGGCCCTCCCAGGGAGCAGTTGGTGGCTGGGCACCATCCGTGACTCCTTTCCAGCAACCACGAGGGTAATGTCCCAGGCTGCAGCAGGAAGTTCTCGCTGCAGACTGAAGAACTTCCCTCTAGTGGATGGCTAGACTTGGAAATCCCAGACAAGAAGGCTCTGGAGGTGGGAGAATGCCCCATTTGACTGTCAAGAATCCCGGGCAGCCTCAGAAGTCTACGATTCCCAGTGCTCCAAACCCCGGAGCAGCAGTCCCCAGGTTCCTGTCCAGGGGGCCCAGGAAACCCCCCTCATTCCCCAGCAGGGACGGTGCAAAAGAAGCTCCCTCCCCTTGAAATCCTGCCTTGGCTCTGCCATCAAGGCAAATGGAGAGGAGCTGTCCTAGGAGTGTGTCCCCACCCCCATCCAGCTGTGGCCTCACCGGGCTGCCTTGGACTCCAGGGCCTGGATGTTTTGGGCTTTGCTCTAGGAAAGCAAGAGGACAGGGCACAGTTCTCAGGCCAAGGAGCAGATGGGACAGGACACCCCCTGCCAAGCCCACCTGCCCAAGGCCTCCCTTTTTGAGAGAAGGGGGTGTGACAGGTAGTGACAGCCCACTTGGAGTGAGAATTCCTAGGGGCCCCGGGAGTTCCTCCAGCCCCAGCCCACTCTGGCCTCTACCTGCGGGGTGCTCCTCGCCAGGGCTGCGTCTGGTGCACAGGAAGCTGTCCTCTCTTCCTTTCTGCTGGCCTGCTCCCTGGGGGACCCCTGCCCTCCTTCGTGCCCAGGTAGGACTCCCCGGGCTACACTGAACAAGGCTGAAGAACAGAGTTCGGCCTCCCTGCTACTCACCCCTTGAGGGAGAGTGGGGTACCCCCTCTGCTCCCTGCCATATGTAGGCCCTAGGGGGTGGACAGGAAGGACCCCCTGCTCAGAGTCAAGGAAATCCCCAGCCAGTGTCCCCAAAGTGGTCTCCAGCGACACTGGCTTGCTGTGTGCCTGGGAATCTGAAAGACCAGCCTGGACTCCCTGTGTCTCTAGGAAATCCACAGGTGCCCTGTGGCCTCGGGGGTGTCCCTTTCTCTCACCCCAGGAAGCAAGAACAGGCTGGCTGGGCTGGGGGCGGGCAGGGAGTGCCTGGCCACTGCTGGTCCAGGGCTCCTGCCGCACAGCACCGGGGGGTTCTGGGGATGCCTGGCACCTGAGGCGGGCTGCCTCGTGCTCCAGGCGTCGCACAGAGGCCAGCAGCTGGTGAATGGCAACATGGAACGGGGACTGAGCTTGGCTCTGGGCAGGGACAGCCAGGTCCTCCAGGGTGAGGGGTTCCCCCACAAGCCTGAAGGTCCTGCTTCCCACACCACACCAGGATCTGGGGCCTGGCTGTGTGGGCCCGTGGAGAGGGGCCAAGCCTGCAGAGGGGCTGAAGTCCATACAGGGGGTGTCCACGGCTGGCAGACAGGACTGCCTCAGGCTGGGGGATGGGCAAGCCAGTGGCCTATGGGGTAGGGGACTTCCCAGGGGCAGCCTGTGGGGCTCTGGCCAGAGGTGGGGGCCGGTGGTCTTCCTTATGTTCAGGTTACTCTGTTGGACAGGAAACTCCTGGGCCTTCTCCTGGGGCCTCCTGGTCAAGGGCAGCAAGTTGTTCTGCTGCTGGTAGCTTGAATTGACCAGTCGGCCTGTCATGTCCTTCAGGGCTAGGCCCAGGCGTGGATGAGGACTGGCCAGGTTGGTCTGGACTCGGCAGGGCTTCTGGCGCAGGACTGCCCCTGGGAAGGGTGTGGTGGCAAGCCCTCCCTGCTCGGCCTGGCACACAGGCACCCAGTGGACACGTCCACTGCCCAGGCTGACACCCAGGCTCCTCAGGAATCTCCGTTGCTCTAGAGAGAGGAGAGACAGTTATGCCCTGGAGAAGCACTCAGGGGATCAGTACTCAGGTAGGACAGGTGGGGCTGTCCAGGCCTCAGAGGCAGGGAGGGGACAGAGCCCAGGCAGGAGGGAGCCAGGACTTCAGGGATCTGCTGTCAGCTCTTCCTCCCTGGGTGGACCAATGGGCAGCCCCTGGGGGTCTTGCAGAGCAGTGACATGGTCCAACTTGGTGCCTGACTGCATGGAGCATGGACTGGGGGAGCGCAGGACAGAGGGAAACAGGGAGACAGTCAGGAGGCTATTGAGGGGGTCCCTGGTGACAGACGGCAGTGACTGCAATGGAGGTGGCAGGGTGGGTAGAGAGAAGATTCAGATCAGCTGTGGGATCAGGGCTTAGAAGATGGGGGCAAAGGAAAGAAAAGAATCAAGGATGACTCTTTGTTGAGCAGAGAGGTGATGGGGGCAGTGGGCTGGGGTGAAGCAAGACTCCACACAGCAAACAGCTGCACATCAGCAGTTCTGGGGAACGTGGAGGTGGGGCTTGGACCCCCTCCCATCCCCCGAGGCCGCTCCACAGCCCGCAGAGCCCAGCCAGGGGCACCAGCCAGGCCCACTCCTGGTTCCCCCTCCTCCTGACCTCACTCACTCAGGCCTGAGACACCTGCCTCGGGCCCCAGGCTGGAAAGACTTTGTCCTGCGCCCAGGTGACCCTGGGTGGCTAATCTCTAGAATTAACAGGGCCCTGGGCTGGCCTGTCTGAAAAAGGGGCTCTGCTCCTGTCAACGCCTACCCAGGCCCACTAAGCCTCTTGCCTGGCCTCAGGGGAGCGGCAGGCCTTGGGGGCACATTCTCCTTGTGGCTGGCATCAGGCCTCAGCTCCATGGGCTCCGGGACAGAGGTGTCCTTGGTTCACGTTGCAGTCAGTGGTCTGGCCTGCTTGATCAGACAGGCTCTGGGGGGAGAGGACAGAGTGCCCTGGCTCTCACCTGGCCACGCCCCAGCTCTGGTCCCCACCCCCACCCTCTGGAAGCACCCCCGGCTGCTCACAGGCCTTGTCAGGTCCCTGAGGGTCCCTGTCCCCACCCCACATCTCTTCCCTTCTTTCTGCTGTAGTTTGCTGAAGTCTTCTATTGCCCACTCTTTCTAACACCCACTTCAGATCCCTGGCTATCCCCTGGGGACCGTTTCCCTGGCAGCTCTGTCACGTGGGGCCCTCTTTGCTTCCTGTTGCAACTTCTAGACCATTCTCTCTCCCTCCTCTCTAAAATGCTCCAGCTCTCAGCTGCCTGCAGCACTTAAGGAAGCCCAAGCCACCCCGTTCCCTGAAGAGTTGGGCTCTTGGTTCACTGTCACTCTCTCCAACTCACACCTGTCTAAATTCTTGGATGTCACCATCCACAAGGACTCCTAGCCTCCGGAATCCTTGACCTTCTTCCTCCCTCGATCTTGTCCTTCACCTGACCTCAGCCATCTGCTCCCATAGTCCCCCAGACTTTGTCATCCAAAATAACGGCACCCTCCATAAATTCAGTTCCAGAGTCTGCCGCCCCGTCTTTCCAGCTCACTCCCTCTAGTACCCCAATTCCAACAATCCTTCCCCTATGAGACCCCAGTCCTCTGACCCCAACCCCCTTTGACTGTGCCTCGTCCCCTTGATGTCTGTCTGCCTTCCTTTGGCAGCTTAACAATCTGGAATTATAATAATCCACTTCAAGCCCCTCCCTCTCTTTGCCACAGTTGCTTGGCAAAACTGCAAGGCTGGTGGAAGGCAGTGCCCCACCTTGTGTGCACCTCAGTACGTGAAGGTGGCCAAAGACAATCCCTCGACTGCACTGAGAGCCTCACCTCGAAATCAGGACCTTTGACTTCCAGTGGGCCCCAAAGGCTGCCCGACAGTCAGACTCTAATCCCCTCCCTTCTAGATACTAACTCTGACTTTCTCCTCTGTTGTCAACCCCCTGCTACCTTCCCCCCACCACCCCCTCAGCAGATGTGCCATGGCCTCCTCTGCTGAGCACTGAAGTCCACGGTCCCTTCCCCAGCCAGGCCCTACCCTTGCACTCTGGGTGCTTCCTGTCTCATCCACCCAAGGACAGCACCCAGGGCCCCTACAGCCCCCATGGCCCCTCCACCGACTCAGTCTGGCACCAGGGCACAGCGCTTGGGGACAGACACAGGCTGAGAAGTTGGCCCCCTTAGGAAGAACCCTGCCACTGCTCAAAAGTCCCCTCCCCGCATCATCCACACTTCCCCCTTCTTTACTGAATCATTTCCATTGACATACAAACAGGTGGTATTTCTTCCATCTTTAAAAAACAAAACAAAAAAACACCAAAAAGGTACCCCTCTTGAACCTCCAGGTCCCAGGCCATTTCTCACCTTCTCATCACACACAAATCCCAATTCCTCTCCCAACTCCACCTCTGCTGACCTCACTTCAATTGGGCTCCCCAGACCCCACTCCCACAAAGCTGCTCTCCTCCAGGTAAACTCCAGGATGGTCAGTTCTCAGCCTGCAGACTGTCTGCTCCCCTGTGAACACTTAGCCTCAACCCAAACACCCCCAAGCTCCCCAGTCCACTCAATGCCCTGTGAGCTTTCAAGGCTCCACGTCACGGGGTTGGCAAATTACAGTTTGGGCTAGGGGCTTCTTACGTAAATAAAGTGATGTTGGAACGAAGCCTCTCCATTTGTTCATGGATTGTCTGCTTTGCAGCTACAAGGGCAGAGTTGAACATTTGCAACAGATACCTGATGGCCCACAAAGCCTAAAACATTTATTCTCTGGCCTTTAAGAAAAAGCTTGCTGACCTCTGCCCTACTTCATCTGGCTCACGGTTACCTTACTGACCTCCCCGCCCCGACCTCCTTCCCAGTCTGCTCTGAACACAGCAGCCTCCTGGCTGTTCCTCCAACCCGCCAGGCAGGCTCCACCACGGGGCCCTTGCACTGCTGTTCCCTCTGCGTGGAATTGTGTCCCTCTTTCCCTGTGCCTCAAACATCACAGTGAAACCCTTTCCTGACCGATCCTTACTCTCTTTACCCTGCCTTATGAGGGCACTTTGAAAAGTTTGTGAAAAATGGAATCAAAAGACAATAGAAATCTTTCCATGAAGTTTTTGAGGACCCTGCATATTTTCCTCCACTGCCAGTACTGATGTAGGAGGTGCTCAGTTTCGCCGGGCTTGGGCTCCGGTTTCAGGACTCGCCTTTGGGTTTCCAGCCACTTCCCAGGGGTCTCAGGCCCCCTCCTTCGAGATTTCCCCTGGAGGAAAGTTACTGTTGCCAGTTAAACCTATCTCCAGCACCAACAAGGGGAAAATGAGACCACAAGGGGCTGGTTTATGCAACCCAGTGGCTGGACATGCTGAGTGGAGAGCACAGAATATTCTCGAATGTGCTGGTGAACGTGATAGGATCTAACCGGTGAACATGCTCCAGGAAGAGACCGACTGAGCATGTGCAAGACTAAATGTTACATAACTGGGAACCACCCCCTTAATTGAATATTCATTAGGTAGAGAAACTATAAATGCTGGAGTGTTGCTCACTTTCATGGTGGCAATTTGCACTTTGCTGGCTGAGGTGTGTATACTTTACTTTGTATCAAACTTACTCTCAGCAAGCGGCTGTCTTGAGCCAGCCTGCACTTTGTGCTGAACTTTAAATATGTTTTTCTTTTTGTGTTAGACTTGATGTCTGTCCTGATCTTACTTTTGTGTTAAACTTGGTGTGGGCCCTGCTCAGTCTCTGGAGCTGTGCCACACTCTCTCCATGGAACCTGCATTTCTCAGATTACATTAAACCTGTTCTCACTGTCTACTGTGACTCTGCCCTTGAATTCCTTCCTGTGGCGGAGTCAAGAACCTGGTAAGAGGAGTAAGTGGGCTGAGGCCGACTATTGACCCCCGGACCCCACCTCCGACATCAACACCACCATCTAACAGACCAAAGAAACTATCGTTTTCTCCCCCCAAGAGGCTATGACGGGGGCAGGCCGTTTTTCTCTCTTTTCTTCCCTGCCTAGTCGGGGCTTATGATCGTGTGTTGAATGAACGGCTGAACCACACTGAGGACCGTGCAGCCTTTAGCAGGCATCCTACCATTCTGCCTGCACACAGCCCCAAGACGTTCAGCGATGGGGACGCTGCGCAGAGGGGCCAGCCCAGGCTGACTCCACGGCGCAGGCTGCTCACCAGGACCACCCTTCTCCCGACCCCTTTCCAAAGTTGACTTGAGGCAGCTCAATTCACAGGATTCCTTCCTACCCCCATCCCCCGCCTGGGCTCATCTGTCCATCTCTCTGCTCCTCATCCCCTACCTCTGTCTGTCCCCCTTGCCACGCCGCCCCCATCTCTGTCCACTTAAGACACTCAGAGCGTCCTCCCTCTTCCCTCCAAAGAGCTTGCGGTCGGTTTCCTCCTCGACCTGCCCTCTCGTGCATCGGTCTTCCTCGGGTCTTCCTTCGTCCAGTCCGGTTTGAACCTGAAGGAGCCCTCCAGCTGGGACGACTAACGACGCAGGCGGCTGGCGGGCTGGAAGGAACGTCGGAGAGAACAGAGCGCGCGCGCCGGCCCCGCCCCTGCCCCCGTGCTGGCCCCGCCCCTAAGCCGGGCCCGCCCCTCCCCCGCCCCA